GAAATTAATATGTACTATCTTCATATATAAATAATAATTTAAATTTTTTAATTAAATAAAAATATTTAATAACAATTTTATAAGAAAAAAATTTTAATTATTGTTTATATAAATTATTAATTTGTTTAATTTTATATTTAAAAATGAAAAATATTAAAAATAAAGTGAGGGAGTATTCTCTTTTGTCCAATTATCCAAATTCCGTGTTTTTGTTTTCATTTTATTTTTTAAATTTAAAAAGTGTGAATATATACTAAGTTAGCGTGTAATTTAAGCATTTAGGTCAAACGGAACGGAAGGATTAAGCTGGGAACTGAAAAATAAAATTTAAGAATAAATTTGATAATTTTAAAATTTAAAGATGAATTTGGTCTAAAATTTAAAATTTAGGGGTCAAATTAGTAATTTAAGGGGGAAGCCAATTTCAACAGTGGAAGTTGTTTGGCCGCCCCCTGAAATTGCTAAGCTTAAAAATGCTCATCTCTAATAAAAGTTATTTTTGTCAATTTTCTTTTATTTGAAAAAAGAATGTCAATATTATGTGTCTTAATTTGAGAGAAAAGTAAAGAGAAAATTATTATAATTAATTAAATCAATTTATTAATTCAATTATTTAATTAAATTAGTTGAAATAAGCTCACTGTCTCTCACTCTCTCCACTTTTTCTTTATTTGACTCAAAGCAAATCAACCATTAATAATCAAAATGTTTTCCGCTGATAAAAATTTGATGTTAGTTGATTTCCCAAAAAAAAAAAAATGATATTAGTTAAAGTTTTTATGTTTAACATCAACCTCAGTCAATAAAAGATACTGAGAAAGTCAGTCCGACTAAAAAAAAATTCAAAAGGAATGAGAGCCATTTAGCGTCAGAAAAAACAAAAATCTAGGCGAGGGTTTTTTTTTCTTTTTTTTTGGCCTTTTCGTTCATAATCATATATGCATATTTAAATAAAAAGAAATTTGCGCTCTCCATTTTTATGCGTGGGGATCACAATACATGATTATTAAATTAATTTTTTAATTGATACTCAAATAAATATTAATTTATTAATTATGTTTTTACATTAAAAAAATTTTACATAACAAAATAAAAATATAAAAAGTTTTACACGAAAACTAATTTATTTATTTTAATTTTTAATATACGTTATGAAATTTAGATAGCATTCTTTAAAAAAAAAAAAAAGTTTCAAAGTAATAAAATGTCACGTTAAGTTGTTATTATCATTCATTTACTCAAGATAAGAGGATTGTCAAAATAAAATGATTGAAAAATAAATTTTTTAATAAAATAATATGTTAAAGTTCTATAAAAATTAATATAAAATATTATTTTAGTTATAGTTATAGTTATTATTAATTGTGTTAAGATTATTACATTATTAAAATTTATTTTTAAGATAAAAAATATGTTAAAGTTTTAAATAATTAATATTTATTATTTAATAAATTAAAATTAGTTTACAATTTATTATTTATATTTTTAAGATACATATTAAGAGTATTTTTTATATTAATTGTTATTAAAAAATAAAAATTAATTTTCATTTAATTAATTATCTAATTAAAATAATTTACATAATATTAATAATAAATTAATATTAACTTTTATTATTTTTAATATAAATTAATGACAAAATAATGTATTACACATATTACAAAACTCCTTAGTTTATAAATAAAAATAATGTCTAATATTTAATCAATTGTAATTATAATACTGTAGATATTTATTATTTAACAAATTAAAACTAGTTTATTAATTTTTTTAACTTATACTTTAAAGTATATGTTAAAAATACCTTTTGACATTAATTATTACTAAGAAAATAAAAATTAACTTTTATTTAATCAACTATATAATTAAATGAGACATGTAACTTTAATAATAAAATTAATATCAATTTTTATTATTTTTAATATGAATGAATCATAAAACAATACATTATCGACATCCTTAACTTGAATCCCATTTGGTAAAGAGAAGATAACAAAAGCGGCCTCAACAGCACATTAAGGTACAGAGCTCACTAGCCTTCTTGAAAAGGCCAGAATGACGTTTGGAGAGCGCAACTTGTCAAGCATTTGCACTTCGAATCCTTCTAATCTGAGTCCTTCTGCGGCCTGCACTTGATATTCCTGTTATAGATAAACTATACTATTTTGATGATGGACGGAGAAATTTAGGGAAAAAACACAGTTATTTAAAGGGCAGTGATGCCTTTGCTGATGTTGCTCAGTGCCACCCAGTCTCGTATCCTGATTGGCCATTCTCCATTTCCTTCTATATATGTCCTTGCCAGCAAAAAAAGAGCTTGTCATCTTTCGGCAGTACATTAAAATTTCAACTCTAAAATATCCTTAGATAGCATACTTAAACTACAGACAAGACTCTTTTTTGTAATGGTAATACTACAATTATAATATTATATTTATAATATCATTTAAAATTATAAATTTACAATTATTTATTTATTCATTCATTATCTACCTACTTATAAAAATTATTTTCTCTCAAAGTAGTTTAGTAAATTAAAAATATCAATAAGATATATCTATAACTTTATTATTATTATTATTATTATTATTATTTTGTTTTACATAATTCATTAATTTGACTAATAGAAATGAATATCAGCACTAACTTGGGTGCAATTTATGATCAATTTGAGCTTACTCAAGATACCTAATAGTAAAAATA